GGGGTTGTTTCTGTTACGCACACCTTTCCCGAAGCGTCCGTATTTAGGGACAACCAAGTTTCGGCGTGAAAGAAGGTAAGCTAAGTGAATCTAGAATGTTAGACGACTGTTCTGTGTCGTAGTTTTGATATGTAGATCTCACATTGTTGTGTTCGCAGCGTTCATATATGGCGACTGTGTGGGGCCGAGGTGTCATAATCATGTTGTCGTTTTCGTTTTCGCCTGGTTCGGAATAAATATTAGTCATCGAACCATACACTGCTCGGTTATAAATACAGTATTCTTATCAGCGGATTGGCGTTTTTCTAAGTAATTTAATCGATAGAAATAGGGACTGTATGCTGACTACTAGGCCATGTGTAGCCCTTGATTCCATGGCTTCGTTTGTGAGCGTCCATTCTTGACGTTCGTGCTCCCTTCAGCCACATGATGACATAGATCTGTGTAAAGATATTGAAATCATTGATTTGACTTTCAAAATTTTATATAGAGGTAGAACTCTCTAAAATCTTGAAAAAAAAAAAAACTGAAGAGATAGGGCCTCTGGGCTAGGCCATATGTTGTCCGTATCTGCTGTAATTGAGTGTTTTGTACCGGGTAATGCCTAACATCTTTCAGAGGAAGTGAAAATATCACAAGATAAGATTCCCTAAGAAAAACACAGTGCCAAATAGAAATATATAATATATACAGGGAATAAGAAATAATAATTTCAAAAAAATTGCCATCACAAGATGGTATTCAACACAGTACTATGAGCTTATCACAAGAAGACTGCAAAGTATATGCATGAAGGCAGTTTGGTGATTATGTCGATCAATGCATAGTAGAGGTCGATGCAACTTTGTACTGCCTGTGTGCATATACTTCGCAGTATTCCTGTGATAACCTTATTATATTATTATAGAACATTTTTTCATTCTTGTAATAATTTATTGAGAGATTATAGCTCAAAAAATCAATGAAAATTTTTCCAGATATGCAAAGTTTGCACGAGTGACAGGATTCTATTTATGTAACGCGATATATGCTACGTACACGTTACGGGATCTCGACACATGCCGAAATTTGTAATCCTTTATGTTTGCAGAGGGATTACAGCAGTTGCGTTCATGTTAGTCGGGACCCACTTGGGACCAACTCGGCTCATTTCGAAATCACGCCCTCATTAGTTGATCATTCATTTGAACCAAACATGGAAAACAATACGCATACATGTACGATGTTAATAATAATTGCTACATTGAAATTATATCTGTTTTGTTATGGCATTTATTGTGAGTCACATGAACGGCAAAGAATATTCAAAAAACAATTATTTTTTTCACGTCAATATAGCATTACAAAAAAATACCTGATGCAGCAGCACATAAATATGCCTCTCTGACGACGGTTTGCATTCATTTCATCATTACTACAGCATCCAACCAACTATATCTGCATTTCTCTTCGTCATGTCATACTAGTATGAATCAACATATGTTCTCTTAAATTTACCACCAAGGGCGTGATTTCGGCTCCTGCCGAGCGTTCAGGGAGCAAATCTCGGCATGTGCCGAGTTTCGGCCCCAAGCATGTATCGGGACCGAGATCAAGTTTTTACCTGGCCCTGAGTCTCGGCACGTGCCAAGATCTCTAACGTGAACACTGCTAACGTGTTTAGTCGTCCAATGTAAACAGCTCTACAATTTCATTTTCCAGCTTTGCCATAACAATTTACAGGGTTGACCTGAAAAATCTAGGCAAGGTTGAGTACCAGAAACAGATTTTTTTTTTATTTGGCCTTAACAAATTTTGTGTGTCCTCTCAATTCAGATGTTTATGCTCTGCTGGATACATGTGTACTTTGAGTTTTTATTTGTCTGATTTCACAAAATGCATTCCTGTCTGTATTCTTTTTAAATTATCACTACAAGTACAAGCAGAGGAAGATGTATAAGGCCAAACAAAATTCAATTTTCAAAACTTCAAAAACAGGTAGTGTAGATCAATTTTT